TGTTGTAGGGACTGTTGTAGTAGTCGTTGTTGTAGGGACTGTTGTAGTAGTCATTGTTGTAGGGACTGGTGTAGTAGGCGTTGTTGTAGGGACTGTTGTAGTAGTCGTTGTTGTAGGGACTGTTGTAGTAGTCATTGTTGTAGGGACTGTTGTAGGGACTGTTGTAGTAGTCGCTGTTAGAGGGACTGTTGTAGTTTTCAGCTATGGGAGCCTGCTGTTGTGCAAAAAGGCTGACTGCTGACAGAGCACTAAAAAGGTACAAGTGCTGCTCAGGGAACCCATTAGGGGACACCCTGTTAGTCAGGAACTGCCCCCAGTTAAGTTTGTGGCCTAGACTAGCAGATGTTGTGTGTGTTTTATATTATGGACTTGATGTGCAAAGTGCGCCTGCATTTAAACTGTGTTAGTTTGCTGCCTTGCTGAATAAAAGTGCAGGACAATCCTGCTTGGACTGTTTCTGGGTGTCTCATATATGGTTTTGCATTGCCAGAACCATTAAAAAAAAAAAATATATATATATACACACACTGCGTGGCCAGATTATTATGACCACCTGACGTTTGTAGGCAAATTAGCTATAATTTCGTGCTGAAGTTGCTAGAGGGCCAGACCATTATAAATAGGGAAGCAGGTTGTTTACCACGACTTATATATATATATATATATGTATATATATATATATATATATATCATTTTGTACAACATATACACTTAAAAATCACAACTAAAATAAAACTAACCCAAAAATATAATACAAATTATAAAAGATTATAACAGATATTGAAATTTTAAAAGCAGATATATTCAAATATATCAAATACAATGTCTTCAAACGGAAAGAACATTTTCCACTGCTGACTTCCAAAACTATCTAACTTGCTATAGGTGGAAATACATTTAGCTCTATTCTATTATTTTAAGTATTAATTTAGCTCTATTCAATTAATCAGGATATTTAAAGTCAGCCAGGTGGCCATGGTCTAATATGAGTTTTCCCTGTAATGAAAGTAACCCTTGTTACTTATAAATGTTTTACTTACCGGATTGACAGTGTACTTTATAACCCGCATGGAAAAGCTGCTTGTGTTGTCCAATCTTTAAATGAAGGCACTGATGCTCCAATATTGCTTATAAGGTATATAGAACACTAATATAGCTGCTCAACTGGCTCGCCCAGATGTTTGTAAGTGATCAGACAAGGAAATTAGAATTAACATTAATAATGGTTTCGGATTCTATTGATAGTTCTGTACAACTCAGCGTAGTCCATGTTATATGTTTTGGAAGATTTTCCTCACAGTGCCAGACCAATACTGAGAATTGATTAATCATACATGAATATGTTTAATTAAGACATATTTCATTATCCATAGGTATTTTTCGTTTTAATTTGGTTAAAAATAGTTCATAAACTAAATAAATAAATTTACATTTGTTTGGTAGGCATCATGATAGTTAGGTTAAAAAACAAACCTGAAGCTGATCCAGACGGAAGCAACAAATCTTATAAAGCGTAGTAGAGTCCAATTTGCTCTAACAGGGAAAGAACATGCTTGAGTAATCCTCGAAGGCAATTATATGCTCTCTGGATCAATGTTGTTCAACGTGAATTCTTACAAAGAAAAAAATATCTGTTTATATTTTACTCAGTTAGAAACTCATTCAAGTGTCACTAAACCTTTCTTAAAAAAACAATGATCCACTTATACATATTAGCCAGTACTCACATTTTACATTTTATAAATGTATTTTACTATGTGCATTATCAGCTGACCCTGCCTATCTAATTCCCGCAGTTCCCAAACCTCCGGCTTTAGCTCTGAGAAGTACCCATATAGTCATGGTCACTTGCACTGCTCAATTTAGACTACATCTCCCTATACAACTGGTGCCAGCATACAGTACTTCGCATGCCTGCCCACCAATACAGGTAGCCGTGTGCATATGCAAGTTTCTTTGTAGTTCCCATCGGCTACGCGCAGAGGAAGGTGACCTTATTACACACGCCTTGAGTCTATGTCGGGGTAATGTAGCGAGCCTCAAAAGGGAAGTGTAAGGCAATGCTGTTAAAGTGACACTAAACTCAGGCGGGGAAATCTTAAAAATGTATTCAAGCACCTAAACTATTAACAAAAACGTACCTTACGTGTACATCACTTCATTTGCCTGGAGTTCAGCATTGACTTATGTGTTTATATTATTAGGAGATTGGGGGGCGGAGCTTGCCAATGGCCGCGGCTGGACGTGTTTGTCCTTAGCTCCGCTGCAGTGAACTGGGCATCGTACTGAAAAGTGCCACCACCGGCCGTCCCACCGCTCACAATGGGATCCAAACGGGGTAAGAAATCCCAGGGCTCCAAACCGGACCGCTCGCGGAATCCGAGAGCCGCGATTAACAGCTTCTTTGCGGCTCCGGTAACCACGCGAGCGGCCGGCTCTGCAGGCCGCATGGCGGAGACACGTGGGGACTCCCCGGCTTCCCCAGACTCACATACATCACAGCCGCCTGGTCTGTCGCCCGCTCTGGCCGATCGGGAGGCCACATCTGATGAGGACTCTGTCCCAGGTGGCTCCCCTGGTGACATGCGACACCTGCTGGATCACCTCCCCTCTAAGAGGGACATGGAGACGCTATTTGCCCGCTTTGAGCGCGTCCATAGAGCAGATGTGGCGGATGAAATGGAATGTGAATACATGCAGTGGGACTAGGTGGATGACCGGACGTGTTTGTATTATGTTCCAGTGTTCTTGTATTTTTGTATTTTTGTACTTTGTCTATTGCAAAATTGAAATAAAATCTTATTATTTTAAAAAAAATATTATTAGGAGATTTAGGAATAACTGTACTGGCAGCATTTCCAGATTCCGCTTGTCAGTATCTAATCTGCAGCATTAATTGTGGGCGTGTTTGCTGTGCCTCAGTTAACACTTTTTTTGTTTGTTGAGGATAATACCAGCAGCCGACAAGCATTGCCCTGGACATGATTAGAAGCAGAGATGCACCGATGCCGTTTTTTCGGTATTGAGTACAAGTACAGATATTTTTTTTGGTACTCGCCAATACCGAATACCTTTACCGGAAGTCCCATTAAGGAAGCTGGGCGATGTGTAATGACTCACCACCCTTCTTCCTGATTAGCCAGGAGGCTGGCACCATCCTGCCTCGTCACCGGCTTTCTGGCCAATCAGGAAGCCGGGGGGCGGTTAATGACTCACCGCCCGGCTTCCTGATTGGCCAGGAAGCCAGCTCGATGCTTATCTTGATAACCCGAAGTTATCGGGATAAGCATCGGGAGCATTTCGGTGAGTATGAATACTCTCCCAAATACTCGGTATCTGTGCCGATACTGACAATAGTATTGGTATCGGTGCAGCCCTGATTACAAGTCTTCATGAGCAGGCCTTGTGAGTTGTTAGCTTTTCTGCCAATTTGTGTAAAAAAAGATGCAGTCTAGGCATAGGCACCATCATTCTTTAAATGTTGCATTCTACTTAAAAGGAATAGTGTACAGGTTTGTGGTCACTATACTTATATTTGTACGTTTACAAGTTTGTAAATTATTTTATATATTTTTTAATACATTTTTAAAAATCTTTATTTTACAAATAATCATTAAAGCCCAAATGAAGTAACAGAAATAGACATACAGTCAGATAAATATTCTAACAGTCTACATGTTTTATAGATTTACGAGAGAGAGAGAGAGAGAGAGAGAGAGAGAGAGAGAGAGATTGATTCAGCATTGCCTGCAGGTTTGGAAGCACCTTGCATTTAGATATACTGTCCACTATAATGTTGATTGTATTCTGATAACTGTATTAGGTTAATACTAGGAATTATAACATTTGTTATATTTCTTTCTTTGTTTATTTAACATGCCCTTATTTATGTTTTTCTCTACATTTTCATGTAGACCAAGCTGTCCAGCACAAGTGATGATGATAGGGGAGGGAACAAACTATAACACCGTCAGGGGTGTTTATCCACGTGCTTTACATTTTCTTAAATAACACTCCTGACAGAGCTATATTTTTTATTAAAAATCAGTTAATGATCTTAAAAACAAGTTTACATTGATCTCTTTTGCTGCAGACAATGCAAGCTCACAGCAAAAAACCTTACAGTCATTTGGATCTTCTCTCAGCAGCTCAACTTCCCTAGCTTCCTCCTCTTAGATGTGACTCAGAATCTCATCTTCCTCTGTTTCCCTCTACCAGCAGTGACTTAGCAGCTAAGCTTCCAATAATTGCAAATCTTAATAGCTTGTTTCATCTGGGGGATCAGAAAAAGCAACTATACTTACCTCTTTCCTCACTCTCCCAGTAGCCAGCACTCTTCTCCCCTCTCCTCGCTCCAAAATGTGGGTGGACCCCCTGCATGCTCCCTTACAATGAAGGTCTGCTGGTCCTGCATTGTATGTGATGACATCACAGCGCTTGTGGTCAATGGAACAGCAAAGAGAAATGGCTTTGGGAAATCGGTTGTGCAGCTGGGTGGATGCCTGTTGGGTGAAGAATAAGGTTAGTATAGTTACTTTTTATGTTCCTCTTCAACAAAATGAGCATTTAACCCTTGGAAAACAGGGGGAGCCCCAATGTAAGAGTTTTTTTCCCCCCCACAAAGTTCAGCTTTTAGGAAGTGTCAGGAATTATGTTTAGTAGGAGGCAACTTTGTAGAGTAGCAGTTGAGCGCCGTCATACATTATACGATGATAAATGTATATGTGTTCCTGGAAAAATATGTGAAAGCATGCCCGAAGCATTGTACAAATATACCTCTCCCCAACCCCATCTGTACATGGTTATAGTCTGTGTTGGAGATCAGATATTTGAGACCTGTTCATCAAATTAGTTTTCTGTGTCAGACGGAGTCACTTGATTGACTTAATTACAAGTGTAGGTAGCTTCTCTCTTCTAATTGCTGTAAAAAAAATGCAGTAAATCCACATCACACACCCTCCTCTCTGGATGACTTTCAAATATGTATATATTCCTCCTGTCACTTATAACGTTAAACAGAAATGAACACGTTATTGCTGCTGTCAGTCTGTTGTACATGTAGTGATCGGATTTGTAAAACATTTTATTAACCAGTTTTCATCAACTTTTCAATTCAATTGACGCTTAAAAAATGTCATGCCCTCTGGCTATTATCTTTCAATATAAATAAACAGTCCAAGCACAGCTAGAAGTGAAGCCAAAACTTTTTTTTTTAGGTTTTGGCTCGAGTAAGGGAGAGTTATAACCCTGTCAGCTTTTTTGCCATCTCTGTCCCATTGAGAAGATTTCCCTTCACTTCCTGTCCAACAGCCACGACAGGAAAGGAATTCCCTGCAAAGTGAGGAAAAAATCCTGGTGGTCAGCAGGGTCACCAGAATTAGTGTCCCCATTGGAAGGTTTCCCATCTTGTCCTCTTCCTCCAAAGTGGTGGAAATCCCTGGTAGTGAGCAGGATCACCAGAATTAGTGTCCCCATTGAAAGATTTCCCATCCCTTCCTGATCTGATGATTCTTGGATTTTCTTTCACTTTCAGTAATATGTTACTGTCACAGTAACATAAACAAAGTAAATAATTAATTCTTCATGAATGTGAGCAAAACATCCTTCTTTGAGGATTTCTTTCTTCCTTTCCTCCATTAGATGACTCCGTCCTCATGTGACTGAGGTATCCCATTATTTAAAGAGCCCGCCTCCCCTGTGACTTGGTTGCCACAACTATCAGCATACAACAACTAAAAACAACACGCATCTGCAACAAAAAAGGGGGTGGCAGGAGGGGACTTTTTATGCTCAACTGTGCACCCTCAAATGGCTCACCTCCTTAATCCACCTATCTTAACTCTTCACCTTACCCATTACTAGACCTATTCAGCAAATATCATGAACCCCCTTTCTCAAAGGAACTCAGACACCAGTCATGACATCTTGCTGTGTTATAGACACAAAACATTTATTTCTATCTGTATAATAAATCTCTGTAAGAGTTAGTAATTCCAGGTCATCTGGCTGGTATTATGAGAGGGGAAGGTCCCTATTTTTTGGAGAATCTCTCTTAGTTTAATATGATTTTTCTGATACTTTATATACTTGAAAAAATACCTTTAAGAAATGAGAAGCACTCAAAGGGGTACTTCCTTTTCATGCATTAAAAACAAAAATGTAGTTAATAACAAATAAAGAATGAGTACAAGATAAATAATATAATAGCAAATATTAATAATTTTAAAAAGTGCAGTTATGCTTTTGTTAGAAGGTTCTTTAGTGTTTGAGCTTGTAAAGGAACATGTACTCCGTGGTCAAAACTCGGATAGTCGAACAGCTGACAATGCTATAAAATATTTAATGTATTTATTAAAAAAAGAACATATTAAAATCATTCCTCACTGCTGAATCACTTGGTCAGGTGAGGCCACACTGTGGCATAGTGGAGAAGCATGCTACGAATGTAAAGTAGGCTAATTTGACTGACGAAAAGCTAATTATATCATCAGCATTATAGCTTAATTGTTTCTGTGAAGGATTGGGAACCCGTTGTTGCATATTCTTCAACTAGAATCATAGTTTTTGTTTTTTTACTTTACATTTTGTATAGATCCACCTACTTTTTTAATTGCTACCTGCAAGGCTATGGGATCTATTTGTAGCATGTGGTCAAATCAAGGCAACGTTTGCTCAGCTGGATTCACCAAGATTTGGCATCCTAGGTGAATCATTTGGAGAAATGGAATCATATTGGAAATAGTAAGAATGTTTCAGCTCAGAGTGGTAAATATGAATCACTGATTTAGGATGTAACATGAAACATCGGATCCCCCCCCTTCACTTACCTGATTAGCAGAATTTTTCCTAAATCGTCTTTCTGTTGTATGAAATCCTTTGATGGGATCTGTGAATGTGAATGGAGAAGTCTCATCAGCCACCGCCGCAGTTTCAATAGAATACAAATGTGGTGACATCACTGCATTTGTAGTCCATTGACACTTCTTCCTGCCCCTGTTACTGCATGTCTGTACTTTGGTATGGACATGGACAGGAGAAACAGTCTGAGGGAGCCAGAGCATTGCACCTGCGATCTACTGATCGAGGTTGCAATGATTTACTTGTTCATATTCCAAAAATATGCAAAAGGTAAAATTATTCTTTAAGAAAGCCAGAAAATAATTGTCAAGTAATCAGATTTAAAGTAGAACTGTGGCCAGGCTATGGATATTCAAATATTTACATTTCCTTCGCTTCATTTACCTCTGTAGTTACAGTCACTGTGGAGCAATTCATCCTCATAGTTCTTAAAGGAGAACTATAGCCAAACCTTTTTCTTTTTTTGGTTATAGTTCTCTTTTGAGTCATAGGAGTGCTTTTGTTAATGTACTCCTGTGACTCAAACTCAGCATATAGCGGGCTACTGCCCCCTATTTGCTGGCAGCGCAGAGCCGCTCTGCAGCCAAGAAAG